GGGGGGGGGGGGGGGGGGGGGGGGGGAGCGAGGACCCGAGAGCCATGGCCCCGGCTTTCCGACGGAAATTTCCCCCCACCTTTGTCATGTACCTGAATGATCTCTTCTTCCCCCTCTTTTTTCTCATTTCTTCCACCTCCTTTGTTTTGTCATGTTGTTCTTCTCTCTCTTCCTCCACTCACTGAGTGAATGATCACGTGCTCTCGATTCTCTGTGTGTGTTTCCCCTTCGCTTCGTCTGGCCATTATAACCGAGTCATCGCAATCTTCTGCGACTACGGGACAGCTTGTTGTCTAATGCCCCGTTTGCATTGGGCAGTTCTTTCGTCCTCTTCTCTCGTTCTCTGTCTACTTTCCTTGTCTTCCTCTTCTTGCCGAACCGCTCTATGTCGACCACTCTGTCTGCTGTGTTGATTTGTAGAGGTGGTCACACCTAGCGTAAGCGAAGTCGTGCGGACCAATGGAGTACCAAGTGTATATATTTATTATTTACTCCTAGCATCGGAAACAAATCCAGCATCAATGACAGACCACTCTCGACATACAGAGGGGAGGGGGTAGGCGAGATTTTGGCATGCGCAGAGATTATGTGCTGGGCCTTTCTTGCTGATCCCCCATGGTCATTCACGGTCTTGATCATTCTAATTAGCTAACCAAATTGTTGTCACCATCATCGGCATTATCAGTTTATCAGTTCATCATCCACCATTATCATTCCCTTCATTTTCTGTTCATTTTCTTCGGGCTTGTCGGGGAACGTTCGCGGGGACACGAAGATGATGAATCGACAGTTGAAAAGAACGAATTTGCGGCACATACACACACTCACCTCACTCACCTGACCACGTTGTGATGTGATGTGATGATGGATACACCGGCGAGCGGTAAAACTCCTATCCCTGCTTTAGGGCGAGGCATGGCACGAATGACTGATGGGATGTTCGGTCTCTCTGGTATTTCATCTGTGTGCGTGACCCACGTGTGCACTCGTTATAGGACTCAACCCAACATCTCACGACACGAGCTGACGACAGCCATGCAGCACCTGTATGAAGTCGAAAACATCACTCCCGTTAGGTCCGTCGTGTTTTTTCTTTCTTTTTTTTCGGACATCCTTAGCGACGCATTCCGTTCTATTCTTTATGATTGAGAAAAAAAGACAATCGGATAGGTAATGATGGGTCGGCGGACTGTGTGATCGGTTGGCCCCGATCAATCAGGGAGATGTACAGCGACATTTAACAGAACAAACGAGTCGGAAACTCGCCTAGGATAACGTGTTACTATCATTACTATTTTGCTCCCTAAAGCACGCACTTCGTCTTAAAGCGGCCCCTCTCCCTCCCCCCCCCCCCCCCTTTCCCCTCTCCCTCTCCTTCAGGGAAACCCAGCTATTGGAGGCAGGGCTAGGTTGTACTTCGTGCCTGCCGCCACGGAGGATCCAACCCCAGAACGTGAAGTTTCTGAGGTTCTATATTCTCGAAACAGGGCGTCGAATTGTATGTTCAGAGGGCACGGCTATCGTAGATGGAGATTACTGCAGAAAGCGCTGACAATGAGACGAAGGCAAATCCGGTGTCGCGTTCGGTGCGAGAACTTTCTTCTTGGCGGCGAGCGATCACCTCTGTCTCCTTCCCCCTTACAGGCTCTCGTGAAGTGTACGGTCAACCCCCCGACACACACGCGGAGAGAGAGAGAGAGAGAGAGAGAGAGAGAGAGAGAGAGAGTGTTGAACCGAGGGATAAAGCGATTGATATGTGCAAATGGGGTGATCGCCGACTGGTCGAAGCATCAGAGAGAGAGAGAGAGAGAGAGAGGAGGGGGTTGGGGGGGGGGTACTGTCGGTCAGAGGGATGAAGTGATTGATATGTGCAAATGGGGCAGATCGCGATGTGCTTGAAGCCTCAGACTGCAGGCATTCAGCGGGCTGTGGTGGGCTTAGCTTCCCAGAGCGAGTAGGGCTCTAAGGGAGCATGTGCTGCTCTCAGTGCAACTCTTCTCCTCGGTGTGTCTGTGTTCTCTTTCTTGTCTGAAGTGGCAGATACATCTAATAGAGGCGTCGTGTTGAGTATGCTCTCGGCCGTGTTACTCGTGTTTCTCGGTTCTAAAACCCTCTTCTCCCTCGTCCAGATTTGTCTGGAAGAGTGCCCAACCCTTTTTTTGTTTTTTTGTTTTGGGGTGCCCAACTTTCCTCATATAGTACCAGTACTTACTACAGTAATTCTCGTTGATCACCCCCGCTCAGTACTTACTACAGTAATTCTCGTTCATCACCCCGCTTCCTTTGCTCTTCTCGCAATGGCATGACAGCGAATGCGGCTGTATCATGGCAGCGGATGTGGCTTTGGCGGCAAGCCGGATGGGCAATTCCAATACACAGACTGCGTGGGGAAGCCTTCGGCGGGGCGAAGGCGAGGTCTTTTCTTCCTCTTTGTTGCGTCACACTTCCTGAGTGAATTGCAGGTCCGTGAGAGAGAAGTTCGTTGTTTTTTTAATTTTTCGTTAAGGAGTTCTGTCGGAATCTGTCCCTATTATATGATATCTGCGTCATACCTCCTGCTCTTTTTACCTGCCCTGCTGATTTATGGCCGTATCGTTCCGCTCGAATTCGGATTTACCGTTCTTTCCCCTCCCCTCCGCGCGCCCCCCTTCCCCGCCCTTTCCTCTCCCCCCCCCCCCCCCCCCCGGGGGGCCCTTTTCCTTTTATWTTCTCCTTTTTTTTTTTTTTTTTTGTTTGGAAAGCTTAGAACTTTTATTAAAATCAACATCGGGACGAGGCCGGGAACCTCACAATTCGACCCGGAGTTATCCTGGCAGCCTCAGCCAGTTTCGCTTACGAGCCACGCTCGGCAAACAAAGCTAACTGTACCATTTCAATCCTGTACCTGCTGGAAACCGGGTCCAGCGTCCCTTCATCAAATGCTTCCCAAAACAGCTTTAACGCTCAGAAAAGGTGAGCTATCCACTAAACAAGACTAGCTCATGCATCTGTAGAGCAACTGTTGAGCCCTACCTCATTGCCCAGAGGATCCATCCTTTTATGTTCTCTGCATCGTTCCAATTTTGTGCCGGCACTACATACATTTTCTCTGCCATGTCATAGGAACGAACGAATCTGGAATGATGATGCGTTTTGGAACGTGGCATACTCTTTAAGACGAACGGACACGTTGAGGACATGGCAGGCTGACAGCTTGAGGACGTTTTAGGGCCATTGATGATTGATGGCGTCGCAGAACGTTGTGGAACTCTGGTCTGTAGGGGCCTGGTTGCACTACTCTCGAAATGTGCAAAACGAGAGTGAATCTTCCGCTAGAATATGGAAAGATACACGGCCATGATTTTTGTCTTTTGTGCATTTCAAGAGTAGTGCAGCGAGGCCCTAGGAGTGTCCTTTTTTTGTTGTTTTCAAATTTGTGTTTGCCAACCTTTTTTTCCCGCTGTTTTTTTTTTCTGTTGTCGTCAACTGGAAGAGAAACTACGATGGTGTCGCAGGAAAAGGCCTACTGAGATCTGGGATCTTGTAACATTTTTCTGTTTTAGGCAAAAAAAAGGACTTTCCTTTTTTTAGTTGCAAGCATTTTTTTTTTTCTCTGGCCATATATGGTCGCCCTGCCCATGGGGTTGGTTGTGTTAAATTGTTCAGTCTCCAGATTCGCATATAGATAGAGGTACATAGGGGCCTCCCTTCACTGCACAAGGGATTCTAAATGCATCCGGATCGCCCAGTGGTCCCGATACATTCAAAATGCTGAATCCGTCTGAATGTGCTTGGTCCGGTGCACAGTTTAGATGCATGTGGAACGTTGCGTACTAGAGCCACGCCCATCTTCGTAATTCAATATAATGAAGTAGGCTGCGAGAAATTGGGCCTCGCCTCTACTACTCACCAAATGAGCAAAATGAGCAAAATGAGAATGGGTCTTCAAAAAAAAAAAAAAGGGAGAACGGGGCTTCCGGTAGAACGTGGGAAGATACACAGCCTTTTTTTTTTTTCTTTTTTGTGCATGTCGAGAGTAGTGTGGAGCTAGAGGCCGATTGAGTAGTGTGGAGCGAGGCCCATATGTTGGCCGACTCTGCAAGCTTTCTTTTTTTTTTTTTTTTTTTGTTTTGTTTTGAGAAGTGCTTTCTTTTCCTTCCAACACAATCCAGTGCATTTTTCACATTCTTGTCATTGTTTACCGTTCCGTTTGTTTGTTTTCGTTTCGAGATTGCCTTGCATGGCATCACGAAAGCAGTGCGTGTGAGATGTTGAGGGTTTCCCGGCCTCATTGCATTGATACGTAATATAATTGGCAACTTCATAAAAAAAGAAAGAGAGAAAAAAAAGCAGTGCGTGCAATTTTTCTGAGCGCAAAAAATCGCCACCAACTTTGGCGCTTGAAAATTCTTCTCTTGGACCCAACCCGTCTGCGCCTGCCGGTCGCCGCCCCCCCTAAGAACCTGGTCCGTAAGGCCAGGAAAGTCCATTTTAGGCCGGCGGGGGTAGTGGTGGTCGCCGCCCCCCCTAAGAACCCGGTCCGTAAGGCCAAGAAAGTCCATTTTAGGCCGGCGGGGGTAGTGGTGGTTTATGGGCGATGGCCTTGAGAAAGGATCACCATTCAACTGACCGGCGTCCAGTAATTCAGAAATTTTCCTTTTCTGATTATTATCTGATTGCGCCAAGTCTGGATTCGAACTTGGGTCTGTATTACTGG